ACGCCCTCCGAATGCTTTCATAATTTATAGAAGAGATGAAATCAAAACAAATTTTGCAAAAGAACGGAGGCTGAAATCCAAATAACTATAAATTTAGCAGACTAATATTAGGAAATAAACCTTCTGAGGTAATTATATAATATTTTCATTTATTTTTTTTTATGAGAAAACATTTTTGAAGAAATTAAATTAGTTGACTCATACTTGGCAACAGTGCAATGCATTATTATAAAATAACTCATGTATTATGAATATTGGACAAAAATATAGATGTGGAAAATGATCAAAGCAATTTAAAGTGCTTTACTGTTTGAGATTATTAAACACGTCCAACGTTTCAATGGGATTGTTAAAGTGAAATGCAAGAAAAGCTTGGAATGTAAGAATTTATATGATTTTATGTTTACTGGTATTTATTAAAATAAACTATTATGATTTTTAATAAACAAAGGTTTCCACCTACTAATGAACAAATAAATGTACAAGAATGAATGGACCAGGATGTCTTTCAGTTGAAGACTTAAAGTTTTACATGGAACACTGATAAATCAAATGTTATTATAAGTTCAAATATCAGAGAATCTTCGCGGGAAATATATCTGCGCAGAACAACTTTTATGGCTCACATGTAAGTATCGCGAAGATCTTATAACATTTATGTTTTTTTTTAATATATATATTTCAAATCTTGAATTTATTTATTTTTTTCCATAAAATGAATCAGAATGGATCGATCTAACGTCATCTGAGAAGGAGTTTAAACGTGAATTGCAAGTTAAATATATGAGGGAACAATTCGACATGATGAATGAATTCATTGATCATTGTTAATTATTATATGCATTTGGAATATATATAATGAGTATTACACTGTTTGATGCACAAATTGTTTGAGATTGTTTGAGCTATTTGAAAGTTTCAATTTATTAATCCCTAAATATTAGAAGATTACCAACAGCGATTTAGTTTTTTACGCATCACATCAAGCAAGGAGGATTATCTAATAAGCAATTAATTCAAAGAGTTAAAGGGATTGACGTTACAAAAAGATGGATCTTTTTGAACTAAAAGCAAGGCCCATCGTAGATTCTCATTATGCACGAGTAATAATTTATATTATTACATGATTTATAGATTGCAAATCTAATTAATCCGATTGAGCTGCGAGGACCAGATATTGAGAATACAGTAAGGAACCTATATAACGCGAATTGAGAAAATTTGAAATAATATCCAGCATATTTAACTTGAATGAATAGAGTTTGCCTGTGATGGACCTTTAGCCAGTTATATTTTATCTAAATTTTGGCAGAATGGAGCAGAAAAAATAAGAAAAATATCATGGATGAACTTAGCCCAGAATATCCCTTCAACAATACCAGGACCATTATAATACCACATATTGGTATTATTTATTATTTATTAATAAATAGTGCATCTATTTTACATACTAGAAATAAATGCTAAGCGATGTTGGTTGGATGAAATAAAAGTGTTATGTTGGAATATCTATTTGAAGAATATGTGGATATGTATATTGTATATTTCTAATCAGCAATAACTAGTAGAAATCTGAATAGCTACGGTAATCAAGAAAACTTTGGTGATGAAACAAGATGGGCGCTTAAATTATTATCGAACTGTAATATCAGTATTATTATAAAAAATATTAAAATTAGGATGATAAAGAGTTTCCGTTTAAATGGTTAGGTACTGAGAGAAAACAAATTAAAAGAAGTGGGTGGTTCGTGTATCAAAGAAAATTATTGCATCATTACAATGCTATTTTCATACAAGAAATGTAAGCAAGCATGGTTGATATTTGATATATAGTAGAAGATATGTTAGAAGAAAGAAAGGGATGTATTGACTGAAGCAGAATTATGTCAAAAGTTTTTTTGGGTCGGTTCCAGCGGCGCCATAGTGAAACAGGAAGTTTACTATTGGTAATAGTAGTCCATTTTCATCATTATATTTTTTACACGCTAGAAATAAATGCTAAGCGATGTTGGTTGGATGAAATAACAGTGTTATGTTGGAATATCTTTTGAAGAATATGTGGATAGGTATCCTTAGCTTTATTATATATTTTCAGTCAATAATAACTAGTAGAAATCTGAATAGTTACGGTAATCAAGGAATTTGGTGATGAAGCAAGATGGACGCTTAAAATTATTATCGAACTGTAATATGAGTATTATTATAAAATAAATATTAATTTAGAATGATTGATAATTGAGTACCGAAAGAAGAACAAATCAAAAAAAAGTGGGTGTTCATATGTCAAAGAAAGTTATTGCATCATTACAATGCTATTTCATACAGGAAATGTAAGCAAGCATGATTGATATTTGATGCACAGTAGAAGATATGATAGAAGAAAAAAAAGAGATGTGTCAGAATTGACTGAAGAATTATATCGGAAGTTTTTTGGGTCAGTTTCAGCGGCACCATAACGAAACAGGAAGTTTACTATTGATAATAGTGGTACATTATCATCATTCTATTTACATACTAGAAATAAATGCTAAGTGATGTTCATTTGATGAAATAAAAAAGAATTATATTATATGCTTGGAATATTTATTTGAAGAATATACAAATAGATATCCTTAGCTTTATTATATATTTTCAGTCAATAATAACTAGTAGAAATCTGAATAGTTACGGTAATCAAGGAATTTGGTGATGAAGCAAGATGGACGCTTAAAATTATTATCGAACTGTAGTATGAGTATTATTATAAAATAAATATTAAATTAGAATGATTGATAATTGAGTAACCGAAAGAAAACAAATCAAAAAAAAGTGGTGGCTGTTCATATGTCAAAGAAAGTTGTTGCATCATTACAATGCTATTTCGTACAGGAAATGTAAGCAAGCATGATTGATATTTGATGCACAGTAAGAAGATATTATAGAAGAAAAAAAGGGATGTGTCAGAATTGACTGCAGAATTATATTGGAAGTTTTTTGGGTCGGTTCCAGCGGCGCCATAGTAAAACAGGAAGTTTACTAAGATATATAACCTGGGTCAATATGTTTAAAAAAGATTGCCCAATTAACAACTATGATGGCGAAAAACTATTAAGGGAGTGAACTACAGTTAATCAATTATAAAATGGGTGAGAAATAGACCGAGTTCTTGGATTGTTAGATGGTTCTAAAACCAATGTTATAATCAGCAATGCCATTTAAATTATTATATTTAACTTTTACTATTACCACTTGGATTTAATCATATTTAAAATTTATATTCCATCAATTCTCGCTTATACGTAACAATATGATGGACTTGGGAATAAAAAATATTAGTCTGAATATTTTGCTCAAGGATATGAATTATTATTATATTGTAACTATTAAATAAAATAAAAATTTATTCAATCCTTTATTAAATCTTTATATATAACAATGATTTATAAAGGAATTTTACATTAATTAGTTCATTTCATCCATAGTAATAAATCGGTTGATCATGTTTCTGTTTACTAGTTATAAAAGATCTTATAATAAAAGGTGAGATTCTTTTGTCAAATTTAATTATTACTTGTTAATAGACAACTTGAAAATTAGCGTGCGAGGATTTCATGGTGCGGTAAATTATTACAAAGTACCATTTTGAGATTTACTTACATTATACAAATTTTGCTTCAAAATAAGAAAAAAATAACGAATTTTCATATATATGATTTAAATCTCAAATAGAGACGTGGGTATACGCGTAAATTATTGCGTAAACAACAATGATTTGCAAAACTTATCTAAGTTCGATAATGGTTTTAGCGTTATTTTGATCATTTATATGAGAATCGGGCAGTGTTAGTAGTACTCTTTGTGCAAAAGATGGTAAGATTATCCTGGTCAATGCTTACCAGACCTGACGTATGGAAGGTGGCCTACTATGATGCGTTCTACCATTGATGTGTTCTACCACTTTGTCAAAAGATCGAAAGTACCTCTGTTAGTGACTAATCAGTAGAATCCAGGTATGTGATCTTACTATCTACAATTGGGTTGTCGCCGTTCGTCACTAGCGAGTCAAATCTTGTCATAATCACAATGCAGTTGTCATCTCAATTAGCAGCTGTGCTGCTTGTGGCATGGTGCTTCGCTGTAGAAGCTATTCCCAGTCATCTTCATCTAATTCAGAAATTATACTTACTTTTTTATTGTCTTCTTAGTTCTTATATCTAGCTACCGTAGCTTGAGTACAAAAAAAAATCCGCTTTCAGGTAGAAGTCGAAAATGAAAATTTTGCTTCAATGATTCGATTCACATTGTATTAAGATTTACTTGCCTTTAGTTTAGCGTTCTGAAGCCTCACAGAATCACAACAATCATGGGCGAGGTGGGCAGGAATGATTACATAAAAACTTAACTGTATTCGATAGTACTAGTGAAAATTCGTAATATGAATCAGAGTATTCATCAAAAATTTTATTTTTTGGGACTAGCAATAATTGCATACTACTATTAGCATATGATAGAATCTGAAAAATAGTTCGTCAAATATAAATGTCGAATCTAGCATAATAAGGCAAAAATAGTTATAGCATGAACATCAAGAGCAACGGGTAATTATTATTGAGTTGCGCAAAGTTTATGTTATAATTATGCTTGGGAAAAATCTGTTTAACATAAACGAGCATCAATAACAGGAATACATATATATATAAAACAAAAAGTGTATATAATTAGGGAAAGAAGTTGAATGAAGTCAAAATATATATTTTGAAATCGGAACGAATAAGATGATGAATTATTAGGTTTAAACTTGGATTTATTATATTTGATTATATTTATTATAATTATTTTTAAAATTCAAAATCTCCCTAAAACTCTAAATAAAGATCAAGATCAAATCACTTTCATAAAGAAATAGAAATTAATACGAAAATCGTATCGATTCTCTAAATAGAATTAGCCATAAATATCGTACATATTATACTTGAACCTAAGGTGGATTGTTTAAAGAAATAATTGAACGGTATATAATTTTATGGCCAGAAGACTACAATAAAGAATGGATCATTTGACATACCCGTGCTAGGGTATACTTTAGGATCAATTGTGATGAGCCTATATAGTAATCCGATTTATCTTTACAAAAACTTTATTGGTTGTGATGATGCATTTAATAGTAGTATTAATATTTCAGTACTGCTGCAAATATTTTTTTTTTGCCCTTCGTCTTTTGCCTTTATGAACATTTCTTGATTGAGTCGTTTATAGATTGAAAGAACATGCTTACACGCGTTACGTTAGTTCACTATTCGTTCATTTAGCTGTAAGCTGTTCTCATTTCAATTGAAAGATAAGAGTACTACTAGATGACGATGAATATGAATATTACGATATTACTATTGAAATTTCTTATGTAAAAATATTCTTGTACAAAAGGTCATAAAGCTCACCAGTAGTTATGGTCACCATATTAAGCCGGAATTACATCATAAATCATAAATTCACCGCTAAAACTTCACAGTGAATGTCGACTGGAAGGGCAGAATTTCCCAGGGGTTGGGCTGTTTGCCAATTAAAGCGGGACGTGAGTTGGGTTTAGAAACTTTCTGCTGTGGCGTAAGAAAATTGCGGGGAGTTTCTCTTATTACGCAAAATCCACTTCAGCAAAGTAATATGCGAATTCAATTCCAACAACAGTTTCTTAAATGAATTGTTTCATTCTTTTGATTAAAGATCAGTTCAAATTGTTATTAGCAAGCTTCATATTTTTAATATTTAGTAATAAAATCACATGATAAACCAAATACTGGTGACATCACGTGATATCACCTCGTGGACGAGATATTTTCGGTCAGAACTTAACTTTGAGCAAGTACTTAATGTATTAACTTAGCATAATCTAAATTTTATTTATGTCATCAAAGATTTGTTTGTCATAATTTACTATTAAGTCTGATAATTTAGTAAAATACAATTTAACGAAATACCAGTTATCCTGTAATTGAACCAGATTTTTAATCCGATTAAAAAATTGCCAATAAGTCAACCTGTGGGTCAGTTCTAGTGTATTATTTCGGGAAAATATATCAAGTTATGTCTCGTTTCAAGCGTATTGAAACTATTGGGAGACTCCATTGAATGCACTAGCACGTTCTGTTTGATTGTCTCCTGAAAGGATAAAGACAGATTGAATAATCTAATTGGTTATACCAGTGAGATATATAGAAATTCCAAAAGTAGATAAAGACGTCGCATTAGCTTTGCAAGGATTTATTACTTTTGAAGAAACTATTAATACAGTATAAAATACCGGTTTATTTTTTTTTTGGGACAGTTCTAGCATAATTATTCTCGAGGAAAATATAATAAGTTTGTTAAGTGCTAACAACCCGAATTTCGATATATTGCTCTTCTATTAATATACTTGTATGCTATAGATTATAGATAAATTCGCCACGGAAATGTGATTACAATTATGTTGACGCTCACTTGGCGTCAGTGGATGACCAATTTAATTGTTTTGCCTTGAAAATATTTTTATTTGTGTAATAAAATTTTCATTTTATAAGGTTTCAAAAAAAAAAATAAAAATAAAACCTAAACTAAAAGTATCAGATGAATCGTTTCATTCAAATTCATGCATATAACAGTAATACTGTACTATATAGCCCCGGGATCCTATAATTACAACTCAAGAGGATTGTAGTTACAACTCAAGTTGGTTTTGCTTATCATTAAAATGAATGATCTTTTAAAAATTGCAACAGACATCACCAAAGTAAGAAAATGCGTACGAGACGCAGTAACTATAATTAAAAGTTATTATTATTGTTATTATTATATTACAAATTATTAAAAACATTAAAGTAAATACTAAAAAATTATTTTTTTTTCTTTTTTCCTTCGCTAAAAGAATAAAATCTTTTACATACTGTACGTCAAACTCCATCAATTAAATTTTTTTTTTATACAGAAAATAATTTTTGAACCCAAAAACGATGATGTATAAAAGAAGTTTTATGTTCATTCATTTCATCAGGTATACTTTGTAACAATTGATCATAATCTTCATGATTTACACCAATAATTTGCGATAAACGAGGTTTTATCGCACGTATTATCATCAAAAAATCCTCACAAGCCAATTCACCAAGTCGTCTATTAATTAAAATTTGATAGATTTAGAAAAACTACTATACCATTATACCATTTATAAATTCACCTTTTACCTTCATAAAAAATTAAAAACTTACCCTGCCCATGAACCACAACTAATTAATTTTTCATCGTGATATACTTGATCGATTTGGTTTGTATCCTTAAGAAATTGTTCCAATTCCGTCGTTATATTTATAAAAATATTCTGTGATTGAAGATCTTTTATAACTACGGTAGTAAAAGGGGTTTTTTGTGAGTTTTTTTTAAATTAAATTAAAAATTTACTACTACATACAGTATGTATACTGACTTACATGTGTCATTTAAATATATGGTTATAGGACCTTCATTACGTGCTTTTAATTCTGGTTCCATTAACTAAAAAATAAAAAAAAAAGAAAATTAAACTTTACATTTACACTCCTTACATTTACACTCCATTACATCAACCATTATTTACCTCAATCCAACCACCAGGTTTTGTTATTCTTATTATTTCATTTATCATAAATTTCCAATCTTGTTCAGAAAAACCATAACTTAAATTTCTTATAAATATATAATCAAAAGTGGAATTTTTAAAAGGTAAACCATCCAATACATTCCCTTTAATAAATTTAATATTTTTTGACATATCATCATTTCCAATTAAAGTATTAGTTAAATCCACACCAGTAAAATTTGATTTTGGAAAAGTTTCAGCCATATCTAATAACCAAGCACCAGGACCACAACCTAAATCCAATACTTCAGTACCACCAATTTTTAATATTTCTTTAACAGGAGAAGAAAAATTACTTTGAAAAACATTATTAAGTAAATAATGATAAGTTTTTAATCTATCCATTTCAATTTCATCATTTGGTAAGAAATATTTTACAGTATCAATATTATGAAAACGTCTACCATCAACAAATTTAAAATCCGAAGGAAATTCCGATGATTGGTTATCACAAAAATTATTATTTGTATTAAAATAATCAGGTGAATCCATAAATAAATTTCGTGGTGTTCCAGAAGGAGTATTTGGTGTTGATACCATTAATACATTATTTGATGGTGGTGTATTTTTAGGATGTGACGTGGTTAAAGACCATTTTGATGAAGATTTTATAGAAAATGTGGATTTTCTTTTATTAAGAAAACTATTTGAACGTGAATTTGTTGATATGATCGATGGTGTTGTTGATGGTTTCGATGATACTGATGATACTGTAATTGTATGGGAAGAAGTGGTACTAGAGAAGGTGGAATTTTTTGATAATGATTTACCCATATTTTAAAAGAAAAATTTTGAGAAAAGAAAATTGGGTTGTTAAACGTTTATTTTGGAAAAATATATAAAGAAAAAAAAAAAAAA